CTGGGCTCCCCAGTACAAGAGAGACATGGTGCTACTGGAGAGAATCCAGCGGAGGGCTACAAAGATGATGAGGGGACTGGAGCACCTCTCCTAGGAAGAAAGACTGCAAGAGCTGGGCCTGTTGAGCCTGGAGAAGAGAAGACTGAGAGGTGATCTGATCAACGTGTATAAGTGTCTGAAGGGGGAGTGTCAAGAGGATGGGGCCAGTCTCTTCTCCGTGGTGCCCAGCAACAGGACAAGAGGCAATGGGCAGAAACTGAACCACAGGAAGTTCCACCTAAACCTGAGTAAAGACTTCACTGTGAGGGTGACAGAGCATTGGAACAGGTTGCCCAGAGAGGTAGTGGAGTCTCCTTCGCTGGAGATATTCAAAACCCGTCTGGATGTGATCCTGGGAAATATGCTCTAGAGGACCCTGCTTGAGCAGGGAGGCTTGACTAGATGATCTCCGGAGGTCCCTTACAACCTAAACGATTCTGTGATTCTGTTACAGAAAAAAACCTGCAGATATCTGACCATCCTCTTCTGGGAAGGAAAAAGTTCTCCCAAAAGAGAGAAGTCTCCTCTCTGTACATCGCTGACCAAGGACGTATTTGCACCCAATCTAGAAATATTGTTGGGCCTTATTAATGTCATATATCGCTAAAATTACAAAGTATGTTTGACCAACAAGCATATCCAGTCTTTTCCTAAGGTACCTCTGGGGCTGAGATTGTCTCTTCAGCACCTTTACGATCAGTTCAGCAGCAGCCAATGTTAGCACACAGACACAAAAATGCCTTTATATTCAGCTGACTCAGGCAAGAAGGCAGGGTTTGTAGAAAAGCCTGGAGGGCTTCCTTATGGCCAAAACAGTTGCCTGGATATATTACTTGCCAGCAAAAGCACCTGTTGGAGTAGATATGGGACAACACTTTTGGTATCCCCTATGTGGTCAAGTGCCTTCTGATCTTTGAGCACTCTACAGGGTGCACTTACCTGCCATGCAGACAGCCCCACTGCTCTGCACAGCTTCACTTATCCTATACACCTCATCTAGCAGGTTGTTATAGTCTGCAGGTTCCTTCTAAGAAGTCTCTGGCAATCCTGATGTAAGGCTAGATGGGATTCATAAGCTGCCTGAAATAGGCCAAAACTCTTGCTGCTTCCCAGGGACAAAGCAGACACCACATGCTAAACTCAGAAACACACGACACTCACAAAACCATCCTACCAGATACCATATGGAGGCACTTTTTGTGAATATACATGAAATGCCTCTGGCTGATCAAACATGTTCACTTCTGCCATTGCATAAGGCAATTTCTTTCTTGGCTTGCCCCTCTGAGAAAGGGTGGGGTTGCTGGTGCCACCCCAGAGATACCAGTGCTGCTACTGCTAATGATGAGGGGAAAAGGTACTGCTGCAGGGAAACTTCTTTTTCTAGCAGCAGTCATCTGCCTCATTGCCCTCCTCATGTCTTCCCAGCCACCACCAACAATCCCTATTAGACTGAGCAAGCAAAAGAGCATTTACCCCCTGGGCTGCATTTGTTGACTGAACGGCAGCTCCTTGTCTCCTCCAGGAAAATACGTGGTCAGGGAGAGAAAAGCATCCCACAGTTCAACAACAATGACCTGCTCACCTGGTTACTGCAGGGGACAATACCGATGCTCCCCCCTTCCCCCCCCAACACCCACTTTTGTCCAGGAGTGAGGAAGAAAACTGGTCATTGGAAACATGGATCTCTGCTGAGCTAGAATCATTAATTTATACGTGCTTCTCCCTGATTCACCTTCCTCCGTATGTCCTCAGTGAAACTCATATGATTTCTATGGGTTCCAGTGGGGTATTCTGATACTCTAGAGCTGTAGTTTCTGACAATAGCAGCTTCCCATCACCTCAGGCAATCCTCTACTGTGCTCTGGTATCCCTACTC